TTCTTATTTTATGTCTTTTGTTTACTTTGTGATTTAATAGATATCTTTTTTTTTATTTTTTTTTTATTTTTTTTTTTTAATTTTTTGGTTTTGTGGCTTCATTAAATACACTGGAGGCTTAAGGAATGAAGTGTAATTGTTTTTGGGATCTCAATATTATGTCTTTGGCTACAAAGCTATTGATTTTATGGCTGAAACGTGTTTAAAAGTTTTATTTGTAGCGGAGAGTAGCGCATTAAATTACTTAATTTTGGGACACATTAATTTGTTTATTATTTAATAATGCATTGTTTTTAATATCTTTTTACGAGCAAAAAATTTAATAGCCAAAAATATTAAATTTTATACATAGTTTATAAGTATTTGATACTTTCAATGAACTTATTATTATATTAGAGCTTACAGAATTGTTTCTTTATTCTATGGGTAGTTAAAAAAAATATAATTTCGAAATTTTTCACCTCTTGTTTGTTACGAAAATAACAAAGCGTATATATGTATGTATGTATATATCTATATATATAGCATATATACCTCATGTACCAGAATAAAAAATTATTTTATAAAAAAAACTTAACTAATAAAAGAGTGGACTTAAAATAGCTAAGCTTCTTAAAAATAAGCAAACGCAAATTTGGAAATTTTAATAAAAAATATTTTTTCTTTATAAGTGCCTTAAAAAAATTTTAATTGAAAGCAGGAAAAAGCTTTGAATTCTCAATTATTCTCTTTACACTTTTTAAAAAATAATTTTAGTAATTTTAATTAAAATATTCAAATATTCAAAATGATGGCACAAATATGTTACAAGATCTAAGGAGCTTCAATGCGAACAAAATTTTTATTTTTAATAAATAAAAAAGAATAAATATAATTATTCAATAATTTTATTTAAACATTTGAAGTTTGGTTTTCTAAAAAATTTTCCAAAAGCCTTTTGGAAGCGAATTTCTAAATTTGCATATAATTCTGAAAACAAGGAAGCATTTTTTCACGAAAAGAAATATGAATATGGTGGAAAAAAGTTTCAGAACATTTCCAAAATAAATTTCGGTACCTCATATCAAATTTAATTTTTAATTTTCTTTTTTTATTAATTGTATTTCAAATAAATTCACAAAAATATTTACTAAAAAATTTTAGCTTAATTTCTAAATAATTTTTTTATAATGCGGTCATCAACCCAAATTGACTCATTTCAGTTTATGCAATCCAATATCAAGTAATTGCCTGCTTTAAAGTTTAAAATCGAATAAAAAAAAATTGTTGAAAAACTCACCACCCACGCGCTCCGTTTCAGATTTTTTTCTCATATTTTGCATATTCATAAAATGTATTTAAAAATAAACACCCCACAAAAATGTCCTTAAAACGCATTACGCCCAAGAAAATTGGCCATTAAGGCGTGTAACGAGCGGGCAGAGTAACTGCAAGACGACAGCGAGTGCTAAGTGAGGGTGGTGATAAAGTAGCTATGGGGAAAAAAACTTCTTAGAAAAAAAAAAAAAATATATATATATATATGTATACGAATGTGTGGGGTGTATGATACAAATCTCACTTGCAAATTAAACAAAGGTGCGACAAATAATTTGAAAATAGCAAAGAAAAGCGAAGCGGCAAAAAATATAATGCCAAACGCCAACACCTTGCGCCCAACCGACGGCTTTTAGCTAAGGGAAGCGCATTATATGTGCGCCCACCACGCTTACGGCAACACTGCATGTGAGGTTTGGGAAAGTTTGCTGTGGTGTGGCGTTGAATTTTTCCGCCGCAACCTCAATTTAATTCTTTTTTTACATTTTTTAAGCAATTTTTAAGAAGACACTATGCGTGAAATTTGAAACTGTCTGTCTGCTTTTTTTTATCAAACACTCGCGCACACACTATCAGCAAACGCAAGACGGCAGCGTTGTTGCTGTTAATATTATGCTTTAAAATTTCCATTGTCTTTATGGCAATTGCAGCTAATAAAGTAAATTATTATTAGCGCTTCATTGCCTTTACTGTTGCATGCATGGCTTTGTTTAGCTACGTACAGGCGGCGGCTGGTTGCCACAAGTACTGTTGTACGAGTAAGTATATATTTCTTATTTGGTAGCAACAATTTTGCTGATTAGATTTTTTTTTGCATATTTATATATGTAAGTTTAGTTTTTTCTTTTCTTTGTTGCTACTGTTTGCTGCTCTATGACACCTTAACCGCTGAAGTGGCTGTAATATTGACAAAAATTGCATATTAAGACAGTTAGCCCGGTTGTTGTTGGTTCTTGGTGGATCTATGGTTGTCTTTGTTGGTGGTTGTCGCTTGCAAAATGCTGGCAAATTTTTGTGCTGTTAATTTTGAAAAGTTAATGGAAATATGCAATTTTTATTAATGTCTCTTCTTGCAAGTCGCTGGGGAATTGAAGTAAAAAAAGAGAAAAAGTTGGCTTTCTTTTACTTTAATGCATTGCGTATCATTTGATTGGCGTTTTTAATGCATTTTTAAGTGTACCTAAAAATTAGAATTTTTCTCTTTTTAACAAAGATTTATTGTAAATTTATGGCTTAAGCACGTGAGAGCTCCAGTGAATTTTTTTATAAATTAATTTTTTAGAAGGTTAAATTTGAAGAATAGACTACTTTATTAACAACAAATAATTATTAAAGGAAATTGGGCTTTATCATTATTTTATAATGTCAAAATACTAATTATGAAAATGGTAATATTTTTTTATTTAAAATATTAAAAAAAAATTTGCCGTTAAATTAGTAGAATAAACGATTTAACCAAAAAAAAAGCGGTAAGGAAAATAATTATAATAAAAAATTATAAAGGCATTAAATTTTTTTAAAACAACCACAAAACAGTAAGGCAATAAATATTTTTGGCAGAAAGGAGAAGTTTCTTCCGCCTTGTTCCAAGCTTTTATACCTTTCATGACATAAAGTTTAAAGTACAATATTTCATTTTAAGGTTAAATATTAAATCTCATATCTGAAGCATTGTTTGGAGGGGGCTGCATGATGAGGTTTTCCATGTGTGAGAGTTCTTTTTCAATCAAAATTTCATAACTGAAAAAAAATCGGTTGTATGGATCCCATATGATATTGTCTTCCCATTTGGATGATTTTCAGTGACAAAGTGTATTTTAAAATATGAAGATAGCATGTCAAATTTCATGATCTAAAATGCTTTTTCGACGGATTTTTAATAAATCGTTTTATGGGAGCTACATGTTATAGTCGACTGATTTCTATAATTTTCAATACCAAGGTGTAATACATCAGAGCAGTGCGATCTTTCATTATTCTCTCAAATCTTGAAAACTGACCAAATATATATATGTATATGGCACAGAGATGTATGAAATATCTCAAAATCTATGGACTTACTCTTCGTACAAACAGATGGCAATACGAACAGGCGGACAGACAAACACGGTTAAATTAACTCAATATGTCATTCTGAACATATCGCTATACATTTTGATGGATCTATTTCTTTTTATTCTCGTGCTTACATGCCTCCTCGGACCAAAGAAAATATAGCAATTCATGCAGATGAGAGGTATAAAAATAATAATAATTAATATTAAAAAAACATATTCGATTTAAAATAGCGAAAAAATATTTTTCTCTTTTTTCATTATAAAATATGAACCTTTAAATATTTTAAATTTTTTAAAAATATTTTTGAATATAACATTTGCCTGCCTAAAAGCCTGTAACGAAGAATCATACAAGATAATAATTTAAAATAATAATTAAAAAAAAAAATTTAACAATGCACCAAAAACAATTAAAAATTTGTTAAACACCCGTTATCTTGTTTTAAAATTCATAACAATTTTAAACAACACAAAATCTACACACCCCCAAAAAGCTAAAAAAGAAACTCGGTCACATGCTGTCATTTGCCTAAACGTTCGCCATATAAGCTTTTTTGTCACATAAATACTTAATTTATTGCATATATATATAATATATGTACTTACCAATGAACTATAAATGTTAAAGAAAGAATAATCGAATATCAATGAAAAAAATTTAATACCCTTTTTAAATCGTCAGAAGCCTTGTTGCCTTTGTTAAGCTTCAAGTAATACCTTGAGCTTCAACATGGTTTAGGGAAATGTCAAAAATGGCTCTTGGCTGTGACGAGGAACTGTTGTAGAAGTGAAAATAACAAGCGTTAAATGGAATTATTGTTATATGTTTACGCTCATATATGTGCTTACATATTTACATATCTACATACTTACATATATGTCTCTTAAAGAACTATATATTATAAATAAATAAATATAAAAAGCAAAATTGCATGCTTAAGTATGGAGCTTAATACTCATGCTATCTACACATAGCATAGTTGCACATATGTATGTATGAACAAGTTTATGTATAAATAAAGGTATATTGTCCGTAAATATACATTGGTAACAAATATCTATCAAATATGCCTACGGTGATATGCTAAGTCCATTGCTTTAATGCTAACATGACAAGTGTTACAAATATAATTATATATTTATAAACTATATACACGCACATATATATATATATTTTTCTTACAGATTTTCCAGCAATTTTTCTAGGAAAGTTTGTATGGTGAACAAATAAATGAAGATGTTTATTATATATAAAATCATAAAAATTTTTAATACCGTATGAAATTATGAAAATTTCGAAAATATAAATAACAAAACTTTGTTAACGTTTCGTCCCAGGCGCTGCAGCTTTTTTATCTATTCAATTGACTTTTGACACAGGTTTCTATTTTTATTGTCAACAAAATGGTAGCCTCAATTCGAGTTGGGTTTTTATATATATTTTGCTTTTCATTCGTATATTTGTCATTTCCACATTTATTTTTTTATTTACATATTTATTTTTTTTTTAATATAATTTTTTGTTTTAATTTTGAATGTGAGTTCTTTTTCTTAATTTCATTAATTATTTATATTTCCATTTATATGGAAAATTTTATTAACAAACGGCTTCTCTAACTCTTTTAGGTCGATGGTGTCGAAGAGAATGGTCATCACCTGCCGATGCTAGAAATGCAGATCCCTCACGGCGATTATACTCCTCAGTCTTCCTCGGCAGTCCTGGTAAGTGAAATATTAAAATTATTTAATAAAGTTTTCGTATTGTAAGAATTTAGTTTTCATTTTGATGACTCGATCATATGAAAAGTTTCACTTTGACTTTTCACTCATAGTCAGAGCTTTACGAAAGGGCGCACTTAGAGATTATGGAATAAAATTTCGATTAACAATAAATTTGATATAATTAAATTAAAGTATTTTACTCAAAAACTCTGAAAGCTTTGAAGGTCGAAATATTATACTTATTTTACCTTTTTACTACTATTCGAAGAGCTTTCGCAAAATGTTTTAAATGAGCGAATTCTCTAATATTTCAAGGTTTAAAAAGCAAACTTATTCCAAGCTTTTGGCAAAAAACCAAATTATTAAGCTTATTGCATTAAAATATGATTTGATTAAGCTTCGATGGACAAATACAAAAAAATAATAATTGTGAAAAGTATAAAAAATTAGTGATATTCTCAATGGAATAAAATGTAATACATGAAATTCTTGAAAAAAATTTGTAGTTCTTTACAGAAAAGCTCCAAATGCTTTAAAGTAACAAAAAAAGCTTTTAGTTTTTTTTACTCGAAAGCTTAGAAAACTGTAAAGCTTTTAAATATAAAACATAAATTGTTACTCCTAGTTTAATATACAAAAATTTAAAGATGGAGTGATTAATTGCCGCAAATAAAAAATTCTTGAGGCTTTAAACTCAAACAAAAACCAAAACAAAAAAATCAAGAAAATCTCCCAGAAAGCCTAATTACAACCATCACGGTATGAAAGCATGAAATGCGAGTACTAAGAACTTTTAGAAGCTAACAAGAATGGACTTTTCATCAGAGTCGATGCAACAGCAACTACAGAAATTATACATTTTATACATAACTATGTATATAGTATATGCTTTCGTTACATATATATATATATCTGAGTTTTTGAACTGAAGACTAAGCAGAATAGACAAGTAAATACGAAAACGGAGCAAAAAACTGGAAAAATTAAAGGAAATGAAGATATAGTTGGAGTCTTCATGACTGAAAGAGAACTCTACCAGCGCCACTTCATGTAGATATGTATGTAAATTAGATGATGAGAAGGTCCAGCATATCAAATGGATTAGATAAAGCATAACACTGATAGGCAAATGAATGCTTCATTCATTGGTTGAATAGAAAGAGGATATCAAGAAGAGAGTTTGAATTTGTGTTGCCGACGAGAAAAGCATCAGAAATATAAACACAAAAGATGATCCATTTCAAAGTGTACATACATCTATTAGCTACATACAGATTTTCAATGATGAGAATCACGCCAGGCGTAGAGAAAAGTAAAATACCTCAAAGTAACGCACAAAGAATGCAACGCCAATTGAATGCCGTTGATAACGCAGCCAGCCATAGATAGAGAGCGATCTAAAGCCACAGTCACAGCCACAATCTTAGTCATAGAGCCACCACTACTTCAACGCTTGCATCTACTGCTGCTGCTCTCGAGAGGCTGAGGATAATGATGAAGTCGGTACACCGACCAGTCAGCCATAGCCATATGAGTGAAGGCCTCAGGCTTTGCCAAGCCATTCAATGGCACTCTAAACCAACTACGCTGGGTTATGCCACATACAGTCATACATATGCACATAGAACGGCAAGTTAACGCATCATCTTGCAACCTGTCCTTAGCTGTAGGTAACACAAAAACAAAAAAGGCGCTTTTGATGGAGCTCAACGAAGGAAGGAAGTGCATTGACGTAGACTCGTTGCTGACGTCTAAGCTATCTTTCAAGGCTCTGCGCTGTGTGTGCGCCTGTTGTTGCTGCCGTCGCTGCCACCTATTGTGCTGATGCTGTTAATGCTGGTGGTTACGGGCTTACACAGCGGTGGCAGCAGCGGCGGGAAATGAGCTTCCCGAAACACATTTGTGGTATGCATGTTGTAGACGTTGTAGAACAGTTGATAGAACATGCCCGGCTTCCCGACTACACAGCTACACAGCTGCCAGCTAAGCAACTTCAACAATAGCCTCAAATAGCAGTAAGCCCGGCATTGTTGTTAGTTGGATTGCTAGACCTCTGTGGATGGCTGACTGTCTGCCTGCCTGCCTGCCTGCCTGCCTGAATAGTTGGTTGCCCGGTTGTTGGTTGCTTGGTTGGCTGGTTGGCGCGAAATGGCTGCCACACAACTTACGCGCATGTGGAGTAACTATTCAAGCTAGCAAGTTGTTGGTATGTGATGGCAGCGCCAGTTGCCACATGTGGCAGGAGGTATGTAACCGAGTCGAGTCGAGTTGAGTCGAGTCAAGTCAGCAAATAAGTAAGTAAGTAGTAGATACATCAAGCAAGCGCATAACGCAGTAGTGGAAGGTTGAACGAAAGGCGATATATGGATGGATGGATGGATGGATGGTTGGCTGGCTGGCTGGCTAGCTGGTTAGCTGATTAGATAGTTCAGCGGTTGGTTGGAAAGGTAAAGTCAAGACAGTGTGCTTAGAGAGGAACTACAGCTGCGGTGTGGTGTAGGCGGCAGTTTGTTGCTCGCCACCGATGCTGGTGCTGTAGTTCGGGTCTAAATATTTTGCACAAGCCCAGCGAAAGTATGCCGTGTGTGTGGCAAGTGCGTGCAGAATTGCAGGTAATGAAGTTTGGCGCATGAGCGCTTAAGCGGAATGTTACGGCGAAGGGAGGGCTTTCATTCTCAACCAGCGCAAACAGTCAAAGTAGCAGCAGGCGGAAATTGCATTGTTGGTAGATATTTACGCGCCGGAAAAATCAGCAGCCGCAGTCGCCGACAGGCGTTGAGCTTGCCCGCCAGTCCAGACTACCCAATGTCTCTGCTGGCTTAGTCACTCAACTATGAAGCCATGATGTGTTGGATAATGCGTACGCTGCCTTTTGTTGTTTGTTGTTGCGCCTAACAGAGCTCTGCGTGGCATCTACCTAACTTACGAATATTGTAGGCTTTGTGATGCGCCATCATACTTTGAATTCTTCAGGTTAGAGGGCAATGCAACGCTGTCTGTAAAACGGTTGATTTTATTTATTTTTAAATATTTGACTTGACGCTTCTGTAAGCATTTTCTACTCTGTGGCAACTTTAGAATTTGAATTATTCCCCGCACAAAAGCGAGTGAGTTTTTTTTTTTTGGAAATCTTGCGTCTTACTCTTGAGGCGTAAATTGATTTTGAGCGTATCATAACTTTATTTCTTTTATTTTTTTCTGTTTCGAACAAAGCGTGTAGAGTTTTTTTCTAGTTTTCGTAGTGTTTGGTGGGGATACTCAAAAAAAAAAAAAAAGAATTTGTACTCATTTATAGTTGTAACGTCATCATTGCCCGTGCGCTTTGTGACTTTTATGACGTCAAATTAACATTAACGCGCCAATCGATTCTGCTTTTAGCCATACGGAGCATATTGGAGATACTTAGCGAAGACACATGTACGCTTGAGGTGATCATTAGAAGCCTCTTCGGTCATCATCATCCAGGGATATGTTTAAGAGTTTGGCATTAATGAGGACCCCTAATATGTTCAGAGTGGTCATCTAAAGTGGGATGTCTAATCCAAGACATTGTTTTTTTTTTCGTTGAAATTGATTTATACGTGCCAATTAAATTTTTTTTAGAAATTTTATTTAAATAAAAGAGGTTTTAAATTTTTTCCAATCGCGGTAGTCACTCCGAGTGCATTTTCTGACATGAAATAAGAGACTCTACCAGTTGGGCAAAGTAGAAATCGTTAGATATCAACGAAGAGCCCTCCTAACGAAAAATAGTAAAGCTCCAGCGCCAGCGATATTCATGGCCTATGAATAAAGAAAGTTTCCCAGAGGAATAACAAAAAACAATATGGATATATGCGCTTTAGGATGTTTCATTGTATACAAAGTTAAAAACCAATGTCTTTTAGGTTAGGACGAATCGAGAATATCAGCGTGTTTCATAAAACTTTATACCAAAAGATATCACCGCCAGACTGACTGCTATTTGTCTGAGCTCTCTCTTACTAAATTAAAAGCCATTTTATAAAAAAAGTATTTTTTAAAGGTCCAAATATTTATTAAATTTGTTTGGTCAGAACCTGAAATGAGCATTGAAAAAAAGGTATAAAAATTTAAAACACATTTTTGCCTACAACAAGCAGCAAACGAATATTTTTCCAACATCAGCAACAAATACATCCGTGTATATATTTCAAAAGAAAAAAAAACACCTCTATTCCGTTGCTTCTTTATGCACTCCACTGCTGTTGGGCAATTCGTTAAAGTCAATTTGCAAATCATTTTTCCATTGAAAGTCAATTCAAGCGCAACCACAATCAGCCATACGGTCACTCTATCATCCGCTCACCGCTTTCCGCTGGTGCTCCACGTGCACCACAAAGACGCTACAAACTAAGCTAAGCTATAAAAGCCATGCAACAAACGACAAAAGCAACAAAGCAGATGAGATGAGTTCCGATGAGATGAGAAAAGTGAAATGAAGGCTTATAGATTAATACGAAAAGTACAAGAAATGCGGTATAAAACGAGAAAAAAATTAACCAATCAAGAAATATTCAAAAATGCCACTTTGGCGTTTGTGCGCGGTATGGAAATTTTGTGCGATGTCAAACAACATTGGTACTCGTATACACACTGGCAAATGCGCTGATTCTTTTAGAAATCCTTCCTTTTTTCTTTTTTCTTAAAATAAATTCCTGTATTTGTGGCGTTTTTACTTTGATTAATTTTCTTGATTTGCGTTACCTTTTGTTTGCGTGGAATGGACTATTGTAAAGAGTGTTCTTTTAGGTTTTTTTCGGAGTTGGTATTTTTAATAGTTATTACCTGATTTATGATCAGCTTAGTTTATGTTCGGTGGATAGAGTCAAATGGCCACAAAGAAACCTTGTTCCGCAATGAAGTTTACTTTAGATTGAAAGGAATGAAATTAGTGATGATAATCAACAAGCCAATATTGAGACGCTGTTACATCCTCAAAAGGCCACTGTTTGGTGTGCTCTATGGAAACTACTGGTTCA